TGGACGCATGTGAACAGTTTTGAAAATAACTTTCAAAAAAGAACCTAACAGGATTTTTCCTGAATTGCTTGTTAACAAAATACTTCCTCATTCTCAAATACATTTTAGTATTTGTGCGAATTTTTGTATTATTTTCTGAAACTAAAGCATTAGGGGACGGTCTGTCCTCCACTGGCAAGGAAATTCTATCTTTAATCATATTGAAAATATTTAATTCAGTCTTGGCTGATAAGAAAAATGATGTGAAATTCGAAAAAATTTAACAGCCACCCCATTCAAAATCAAATGCCCCCTCAAGAAATTTAATAGTCATTTTCATGTTTTTAAAATCTTTTGATTCCTTTGTATGATGTTAACTTTAAAAAAAAACATTCTTACCTTTCTTTAACTGCCACTGAGTTGTACTTATACTGGAGTTACATATTTTACAGTCCATTATAGCATCTGCATCTCCGCTCTTGACACATAATCCATCGATGAAACAATATCCTACAGTATAACTTCAAAGGTTATCGTAGAATTTACTTATTTTATGAACGACCTAAAAATTTTTGTTTGTTTAAAGAAAGACATATCATTAAAATAAATAGATATTATTCTTTCGCTTTAATCATATTTTTTACGTTACATTTATTTATTCATATGTAATCTGTGTCGCCTGCTTTGTCCCAACCCTAAACTTAAATTTACACTGCTTATGAATACATTAAAATAAAAATCACAGTAAATGGTTTTGCTGTTCTAAAGTAAATAGAAAATTTGTTTCCTACATCTTCAACCGTATTTTTTTCATCACCGATTGATGTCGCACTCTATCTTCGTACGTCATTAATTGAACGTAACTTGATTCTACGCAATTAGAAAAATCATTGCTCATTTGATTAAATTCAAGTTTTTAACTGGTTCAACTTGCTTAAAGCAACGTCCAAGAACTATGCACATGTACTATAATTATTTTTTAAAATAACTGAATGAAAAGTTTAACTTTAATGCTTTTATTCTCAAAGAGCAAATTGTCGCCCGCGAGGCGCAGTCGTTAGAACGTCTGCTCTAGAGTCGCGAAGTAAGGAGTCAATCCTTTAGACGCGGGTCCGAGTCCCACTGCGGGATGTGGGATGCTGGCATGAAAAAAAATCCCTCCGTGCTCAATGGCCCTAAGTGCCAAGTAAAAGGCAAAATTTGCAGCTCTCCACCGGCAAATGGTGGCGTCTCCATATGAGTGAAAAAATTCTCAAGAGGGACGTTAAACAATTTACAAATCAATCAATCAATGAACAAATTGACATGTTTCTTTATTTTGCAGTTACCTGGACTTAAAGACCATGTACTTTGTCCCAGGGATGCATTGCAGTAATAACAGTCATTGGTTACATTCTTCTGTCCATCAGCCAAACATTGGTTATCGATTTCACAGTATTCTTAATAATAAAAAATAAAATTGTGAAATATCAACATAGAATATATAGTGGGGTTCATGCTTTTGACCTATTTACTTACAAATACGTGTATCCTATATACTATAAAAGAAATCCCCTATTATGCTAAAATTATTACTGTCAACTGTTTCTTGTTATTTTTCAGTAAAATAAGGGTCAATTTGGTCAATGTAATCTGACGAAATCTTAAAGAATGTCATATCAAAAGTGTACCTGGGTTTTTACTCCAGGAGAGTTGATTGGATGATACGTTACAATGATGACAGGGGTATGAAGAATTAGTGCCTCCATCCACAAAACATCCATCGTTAATAAGACAATAATCTGTAAAAATTGTTTCACATGAATAAAAGCTTGGGACACATTATTACAGAAGTTCTCTTAAAACACATACACAATAACTTAATTTTGGAGGCAGGTGAAAAGTTTTGAAAATGACTTTCAGAAAAGTAGCTATTTGTTTTTTCCTGAATTGCTTGTTAACAAAATACAAACTTCTCAAAATTCTCAAATACATTTTAGTATTTGTGCGAATTTTTGTATTATTTTCTGAAACTAAAGCATAAGGGGAAAGTCTGTCCACCACTGGCAAGGAAATTCTATCTTTAATCATATTGAAAATATTTAATTCAGTCTTGGCTGATAAGAACAAGAGGCCCATGGGCCACATCGCTCACCTGAGTACCAAGGGTAGGACTAGTATAAAATGTCTTTTTATTGTAAAGTTTAAATCCAAAAGTAGTCCCATGACCAATCATGGATTTGCTATTTTTTAGAAAATGATTGAGAAGAAGATTTTTAAAGAATTTTCCTATATATTTCTATGTAAAACTTTGGTCGGCCATTTTGGCCCCGCCCTACCCCCAGGGATCATGATTTAAAAAAACTTGAATCTACACTACCTGAACATGCTTCCATATAAATATGATGAATAATGGCTTTGTCATTCTTGAGAAAAAGATTTTTAAAGAATTTTCCTATATATTTCTATGTAAAACTTTGGTCGGCCATTTTGGCCCCGCCCTACCCCCGGGGGTCATGATTTGAACAAATTTGAATCTACACTACATGAGCATGCTCAGATATAAATATGATGAATTATGGCTTTGTCATTCTTGAGAAGAAGATTTTTAAAGAATTTTCCTATATATTTCTATGTAAAACTTTGGTCGGCCATTTTGGCCCCGCCCTACCCCCGGGGGTCATGATTTGAACAAACTTGAATCTACACTACCTGAGCATGCTTCCATATAAATATGATGAATTATGGCTTTGTCATTCTTGAGAAGAAGATTTTTAAAGAATTTTCCTATATATTTCTATGTAAAACTTTGGTCGGCCATTTTGGCCCCGCCCTACCTCCGGGGGTCATGATTTGAACAAATTTGAATCTACACTACCTGAGCATGCTTCCATATAAATATGATGAATTATGGCTTTGTCATTCTTGAGAAGAAGATTTTTAAAGAATTTTCCTATATATTTCTATGTAAAACTTTGGTCGGCCATTTTGGCCCCGCCCTACCCCCGGGGGTCATGATTTGAACAAACTTGAATCTACACTACCTGAGTATGCTTCCATGTAAATATGATGAATTATGGCTTTGTCATTCTTGAGAAGAAGATTTTTAAAGAATTTTCCTATATATTTCTATGTAAAACTTTGGTCGGCCATTTTGGCCCCGCCCTACCCCCGGGGGTCATGATTTGAACAAACTTGAATGTACACTACCTGAGGATGTTTCCCAATAAGTTTCATCTTTCCTGGCACAGTGGTTCTTCAGAAGAAGATTTTTAAAATATACCACTAAATTTTCATTAATTCCCAATTATCTCCCCTTGAATAAGGGTGTGGCCCTTCATTTGAACAAACTTGAATTCGCTTCACCCAAGGATACTTTGTGGCAAGTTTGGTTGAAATTGGCCCAGTGGTTCTTGAGAAGAAGTCGAAAATGTGAAAAGTTTACAGACAGACAGACAGACAGACAGACAGACGGACAGACAGACGGACAGACGGACGCCGGACAAAATGTGATCAAAAAGCTCACTTGAGCCTTCGGCTCAGGTGAGCTAAAAACGATGTGGAATTCGAAAAAAATTATCAGCCACCCCATTCAAAATCAAATGCCCCCTCAAGAAATTGAATAGTCATTTTCGTGTTTTTAAAATCTTTTGATTCCTTTGTATAATTTTAACTTTAAAAAAAAGAGGCTCATGGGCCACATCGCTCACCTGAGCACCTTTGGTCGGCCATTGTGGCCCCGCCCTACCCCCGGGGGTCATGATTTGAACAAACTTGAATCTACACTACCCGAAGATGCTTCCACATAAATATGATCAATTATGGCTTAGCTATTCTTGAGAAGAAGATTTTAAAGAATTTTCCTATATATTTCTATGTAAAACTTTGGTCGGCCATTGTGGCCACGTCCTACCCCCCGGGGGTACGTCATGATTTGAACAAACTTGAATCTACACTACCTGAGGATGCTTCCATATAAATATGATCAATTATGGCTTGGTTATTCTTGAGAAGAAAATTTTTAAAGAATTTTCCTATATATTTCTATGTAAAACAATGGTCGGCCATTGTGGCCCCGCCCTACCCCCGGGGGTCATGATTTGAACAAACTTGAATCTACACTACCTGAGGATGCTTCCATATAAATATGATGAATTATGGCTTTGTCATTCTTGAGAAGAAGATTTTTAAAGATTTTCCTATATATTTCTATGTAAAACTTTGGTCGGCCATTTTGGCCCCGCCCTACCCCCGGGGGTCATGATTTGAACACATTTGAATCCACACTACCTGAGGATCTTTCCCTATAAGTTTCATCTTTCCTGGCACAGTGGTTCTTCAGAAGAAGATTTTAAAAGCATACCACCAAATTTTCATTAATTCCCAATTATCTCCCCTTGAATGAGGGCGTGGCCCTTCATTTGAACAAATTTGAATCCCCTTTACCCAAGGATGCTTTGTGGCAAGTTTGGTTGAAATTGGCCCAGGGGTTCTTGAGAAGAAGTCGAAAACGTGAAAAGTTTACAGACAGACAGACGGACGCCGGACAAAATGTGATCAGAAAAGCTCACTTGAGCCTTCGGCTCAGGTGAGCTAAAAAGATACGTTCTTACCTTTCTTTAACTGCCACTGAGATGTACTTATACTGGAGTTACATATTTTACAGTCCATTATAGCATCTGCATCTCCGCTCTTGACACATAATCCATCGATGAAACAATATCCTACAGTATAATTTCAAAGGTTATCGTAGGTTTTACTTATTTTATGAACGACCTAAAAAAATTTGTTTGTTTAAAGAAAGACATATCAATAAAATGAATATATATTATTCTTTCGCTTTTATCATATTTTTTACGTTACATTTATATATTCATATGTAAACTGTGTCGCCTCCTTTGTCCCAACCCTGAACTTAAATTTACACTACTTATGAATATATTAAAATAAAAATCACAGTAAATGGTTTTGCTGTTCTAAAGTAAATAGAAAATTTTGTTTCCTACATATCCAATCGTATTTTTTTTTATCACCGAATCATGTCGCACTCTATCTTCGTACGTCATGAATTGAACGTTACTTGATTCTACGCATTATGAAAAATCATTGCTCATCTGATTAAATTCAAGTTTATAACTGGTTCAACTTGCTTAAAGCATCGTCCAAGACCTATGCACATGTACTTTGATTTTTTGTAAATAACTAAATAAAAAATCTAACTTAAATGCTTTTATTCTCAAAGAGCAAATTGTCGCCCGCGTGGCGCAGTCGTTAGAACGTCTGCTCTAGAGTCGCGAAGTAAGGGAGTCAATCCTTTAGACGCGGGTTCGAGTCCCACTGCGGGATGTGGGATGCTGGCATGAAAAAAATCCCTCCCTGCTCAATGGCCCTGAGTGCCAAGTAAAGGACAAAATTTGCAGCTCTCCACCGGCAAATGGTGGCGTCTCCATATGAGTGAAAAAATTCTCAAGAGGGACGTTAAACAATTTACAAATCAATCAATCAATGAACAAATTGAAATGTTTCTTTATTTTGCAGTTACCTGGACTTAAAGACCATGTACTTTGTCCCAGGGATGCATTGCAGTAATAACAGTCATTGGTTACATTCTTCTGTCCATCAGCCAAACATTGGTTATCGATTTCACAGTATTCTTAATAATAAAAAATAAAATTGTGTTATATCAACATAGAATATATAGTGGGGTTCATGCTTTTGACCTATTTACTTACAAATACGTGTATCCTATATACTATAAAAGAAATCCCCTATTATGCTAAAATTATAACTGTCAACTGTTTCGTGTTATTTTTGAGTAAATTAAGGGTCTATTTTGTCAATGTAATCTGACGAAATCTTAAAGAATGTCATATCAAAGGTGTACCATGGTTTTTACTCCAGGAGAGTTGATTGGATGATACGTTACAATGATGACACGGGTATAAAGAATTTGTGCCTCCATCCACAAAACAGCCATCGTTTATAAGACAAAAATCTGTAAAAATTGTTTCACATAAATAAAAGCTTCGGGCGCATTATTAGAAGTAATGGGACACGTTATTAAAAGAGGTCTGTTAAATTTCATATATATAACAACATCTTGGACGCATATGAACAGTTTTGAAAATAACTTTCAAAGAAGAAACTAACAGGATTTTTCATGAAATGTTTGTTTACAAAATGCTTCTTCATTCTTAAGTACATTTTAGTATTTGTGCGAATTTTTGTATTATTTGCTGAAACTAAAACATTTAATAGTAATTTTTGTGTTTTTAACATCGTTTGATTCCTTTGTATAATGTGATTTAAAAAGAAGATAATTGTACGTTCTAACCTTTCTTTAACTGCCATTGTGTTGTACTGATACTGGAGTTACATATTTTACAGTCCATTATAGCATCTGCATCACCGCTCTTGACACATAATCCATCGATGAAACAATAGCCTACAGTATAATTTCAGAGTTTATGATAGAATTTACGTATTTATTTAAAGACCGAAAAATTGTTGTTTGTTTAAAGAAAGACATTTTTTGGCATGAAAAAAATCCCTCCCTGCTCAATGGCCCTGAGTGCCAAGTAAAGGACAAAATTTGCAGCTCTCCACCGGCAAATGGTGGCGTCTCCATATGAGTGAAAAAATTCTCAAGAGGGACGTTAAACAATTTACAAATCAATCAATCAATGAACAAATTGAAATGTTTCTTTATTTTGCAGTTACCTGGACTTAAAGACCATGTACTTTGTCCCAGGGATGCATTGCAGTAATAACAGTCATTGGTTACATTCTTCTGTCCATCAGCCAAACATTGGTTATCGATTTCACAGTATTCTTAATAATAAAAAATAAAATTGTGTTATATCAACATAGAATATATAGTGGGGTTCATGCTTTTGACCTATTTACTTACAAATACGTGTATCCTATATACTATAAAAGAAATCCCCTATTATGCTAAAATTATAACTGTCAACTGTTTCGTGTTATTTTTGAGTAAATTAAGGGTCTATTTTGTCAATGTAATCTGACGAAATCTTAAAGAATGTCATATCAAAGGTGTACCATGGTTTTTACTCCAGGAGAGTTGATTGGATGATACGTTACAATGATGACACGGGTATAAAGAATTTGTGCCTCCATCCACAAAACAGCCATCGTTTATAAGACAAAAATCTGTAAAAATTGTTTCACATAAATAAAAGCTTCGGGCGCATTATTAGAAGTAATGGGACACGTTATTAAAAGAGGTCTGTTAAATTTCATATATATAACAACATCTTGGACGCATATGAACAGTTTTGAAAATAACTTTCAAAGAAGAAACTAACAGGATTTTTCATGAAATGTTTGTTTACAAAATGCTTCTTCATTCTTAAGTACATTTTAGTATTTGTGCGAATTTTTGTATTATTTGCTGAAACTAAAACATTTAATAGTAATTTTTGTGTTTTTAACATCGTTTGATTCCTTTGTATAATGTGATTTAAAAAGAAGATAATTGTACGTTCTAACCTTTCTTTAACTGCCATTGTGTTGTACTGATACTGGAGTTACATATTTTACAGTCCATTATAGCATCTGCATCACCGCTCTTGACACATAATCCATCGATGAAACAATAGCCTACAGTATAATTTCAGAGTTTATGATAGAATTTACGTATTTATTTAACGACCGAAAAATTGTTGTTTGTTTAAAGAAAGACATGTCAATAAAATAAATAGATAATATTCTTTCGTTTTTATCATATTTTTCCCGTTACATGTATTAATTCATATGTAAACTGTGTCACCTGCTTTGTCCCAACCGTAAACTTTAATTTACACTACTCGTGAATAAATTAAAAAATCACATTAAATGGTTTTGCTGTTCTAAAGTAAAAAGAAAACTTGTTTCCTACATATTCAATCGTAAAATTTTAATCATCGATTGATGTCGTACGTCATGATTTGAACGTAACTTGATTCTACCCTTTGTGAAAACTCACTGCTCATCTCATTAAAATACGAGCAGACACTTTCTTGAGGTTGACTTTTTCTGATATACATGTACTTCTGAATGTAGGCTTGGTCCTTGATTACAAAAATGTATATTTACACTATGAATACTTTTTTGGCTACGTAGTTAACAGGCCGACACCAAGTTCCTTACAATATTTATGGATCTCTGTAAACAAATTACCTTCATTGAATGTCCAGACAGTTCTTGATATATTTGACTGGCAGATATCACAGCTTTTGCTTGGATTGACTTGCCCATCAGAGTAACATATGTTGTCAATGAAACAGAATCCTGAATGGTAAAACATAATGGTGAAAACAAAGTGAATGACGTATTAAAAATTTTAGAACCCTTTTGTAGTAGAGAAGAACAATAAGACTGCAAAGTGCAAACAAATAATTACCTGGATTAGGAGACCAGGATGTTATGTTGATAGATGGATTACACACACTGCAAGGATTTGTGCCGTTTATAGCTCCATTTGTGTAACATTGCCCATCAATAAAACAGTGTCCTGGTTATAAAAGAAATATGTATTCTCTATAAATTACACCTTTTGCAGTTTTTGTGTAAAACAAAACGTCAATGGTATCATAGATGGGTATTGAATTTAAAATATCAAATTCAGAAGTAGAAATACCCGCGTTGAATGACCATTGGTATTTATTGCTCTCTGTGTCACATATATCACAGAGATTGTCCTTATTTGTATCTCCAGCAGCCACACAGGTATTGTTAATATAGCAATAACCATCCTATCAAAAAATAAATAGCCATATACAGCACAAACCCGTGAAAAGGTTTTAGAAAACAACTGTTCACTGCCAATAGAAAAAGTGGATTCTAGCAGCTGAGATTTAAAGACAAGTTTTACAAAGTTTTAGACAAAAAACTAGTGATTTTCATTATAGCTTTTTAGGGGATACACAAGACGAGGGAAGGATGAGATAAAACATGCGTGATATAAATACACAATCTTTTTCACCGGAAAGAATATCTATTGTAAATATTCACACGTACCTTAAATATAAATGTGATGTTCCCTGTATCATTCTTTAGTTCCTGACAGAGAGATTGGTAGGTGTAGACGTTATAGTTCTCTGTATATCTACTACCGTCGTTCGATACGTTGAATCTAAATACACTGACCCAGTGGACATCTGTATTGTAGTCTAAGGGACAGTACCCCTCAAATAGTGTTCTTTCTTGAAGACCGGATTCATAGTTTATTTCTGACAAAACTGCACCATCTTCTGCAAGCTGAAATATAAAGATAATATTTTGTCTCAATAATCAAAAGAAAAACAAGATCTGCTTTTACATATGAAACATTTTAACAATGCCAGTCAGAAATTGTACACAAAATACCATTTTCCTCCTAATGTAACACGTGGTGTTCATATTTTCCAGGAAGTACTTTCCATACAGAGTGATTTCCTCGCAGGCTTCAGAAGACTTGTCACAGAATCCAAAGTCAGATATGTGTGTTATAGAGGGGGGACCAGACAGGTCAAAGGAACAGTCGCTCCCAGCATACCCACTATTACAGGTACAGTTACCTGAAAATAAGAATTAATGATGAATATTTCTTTAATCAAAGTCTTCTATATTTAAACATACAGCTGTATTATAATTGAACTTAAACACCCAATTTTATGTTAACGCCCCCTTAAATCTACCTGATTCAAGATCAATAATTTACCGCCTGTCAATCATTTAAAAAACAATAGCTTCTGATTCGATTGACAGGCCAGCTACCCGTGCTACCTGATAGTCTGAGTTTGAGTCCTCTGAAAACGATTGCCTGGTCACGCGTCAAACACTTTCATGTAGCCGCCTTGGGCTGCATTTCATTTCCGGAATTTTTAGTAATTATCATTTTTTTCATTTCCGACATTTTTTAGTTTTCATTTCCGACATATTTTTGCTTTCATTTCCGACATTTTTCAGATAGTACCTTTAGTGCTTTAGATTTGAAGACTTTACCTACGAAAAATTTAAGGAATACAAATAATAAATACATCATTGAAATCCAATATCTGAGTTTTTGTAAATTTATCGATGAAACTGCTGTCACTGACATTTATTTTAGTGCACATTAAATGAGGTGAAAAAGTTGTATGTTTATTGAACTCTTTTACCTAGACTTAGTGCTATATGTTTGCATATATGTATAATAAATATATTTTATTAAATATATTTTTAATCAATATTTTGCAATAAATACTTTTAAAATTTCATTTTCGCTGACTTTTAAAACATTAATTTGCCGCACCGGTAAATTCCGGAAATGAAAACAAAATTATTTCGGAAATGAAATTAAAAAAATGTCGGAAATGAAATTAAAAAAATGTCGCAAATGCTATGCAGATTTCCGGAAATGAAATGCAGCGCCGCCTTGTATACACAGGGGGTTAAAAAAGAATCTTGGTAAAATTTTATTTTAAAAAACAATTGAGAGTAGATAAATAAAACATGACTTCATAAATAGGCGATATGTCGTCCAAGAAATCTGCTGTAGAATTTAGACCAGTCTGTGCACAGAAACGCTATTTGCCGATTAAAATTGGAATATGATAAATAGGAAAAGATATTAAGCACAAACGGCACGGATAAAAAATTCCTTTATCTGATGTTTTATCTACTTACATATGAATACAATCTATACCATGTTCTGTTGTAAAATTCTGAAATGTCAGAACATTTTCGAGATTGCAACTTTTAGTTCGAATTTCCTAACATCTGTCAATACCCAATATTCAAAATTAAAAGTGAATATATACAGCCAAAGATCAATTCTTAAAAGTATAAAAAAAAAAATCTTACAAAAAATAATAAATTTTAAACACACGAACACCCGTAAATGGTGAATATTTTCCACACTATTGTTGATCAGAACATAGGCAATGTTCCTATCGCGGTACGGTACATTGTATATGTTCACACGGATAGGCCTGCCTATGAATGGAATATATTTTTTTTAATTGATATTTACACAAGTTTAATTAAAAAAAGATATGTTTTCTTTGTAGTTTTACTCTGTGTTCTTTTCTTTAATTTGTCATTTTTTTAAATATATAAACGATATTTCTTTATAATTTTTTTCTTCTCGAATCATTAGATATCGCTGAAAGTGTTTATAAATAATTAAATATTGAAATATTTCAATTATTTCAAGTAGTTTCACTCAAATTTAGACACAGAACACGGAATGTTGACCCTGATCACCAAACACAGACTTCCTGTGTAATGCTACGTATACACAGATTTTTGACATCTTGGGTATCGAGGGTCTCCAGGTAAATAACACCACTATTACTTGGACCACCCCCCCCCCCCTCATCAGGTAACCGTACGGGAAAATAATTGGTCTTTAAGAACAAGTAAGTTTGCCAAATGCAGAATCATTTGCATCGCCATCTGTCGAAGTTTTTTCAATTAATTAAATGGTCACTTGAATGTGTGGAGAGAATGAGCCAATAATGAATTACAGCCATCCAGTTTGTTTGTTTGTTTATTTTTTTTTTGCAGTACGCTGTTGGTTACATTTCAGTACACTTTTTGTTACATTTCACTTAACAACATGGTAGATTTTTTTTCTGTGCGTAAATTTTATATGTTTTGGCTTTATGTGGCATAAAGGTTAGAAAAATTATATTTGACAAGGGACAATTTGCTTAAATGTCTCTTACTCAAACTCAATAAACACAGATATGCACTTCTGCATACAATAAAGAAGCAACATGTTACTTACTTTTTTTTTTATAACTTAAGGCCTTAAGGCGGCCAATGACCCCTTGCCTCAACAAAGTTATCCACGCCCCCCCCCCCACCACAAATCCTGTATCCGCCCCTGTTTTTTTCTGCCATATATTTAATTGGTTGGACAAATAAACAGACCTGAATACAGAAAAGTAACATCAACGTTACTAATATTTCTACAACTTACCAGAATTACATACACCATTTCCGCTACAGTTGTTTTCACAGAGACTTTCAATTCTGTACGTTATTTCCGGTTCCGTTTCCTGGAAAGTTGCGTTTAATACGACGAATGTCGAGCATTGCTCCAGCGCTGCCTCTATGTGAATCTTTGTGATGTTTACGTCACCAGTCATCTGCCGAGGAAAGTATACTGACAATTTCAAAGTCACTCACAAGAACAAAGTGTTTCATACATTTTTAAAAGTACATTATCCTTTTATGTCTCTTGAATTTTATTTCATTTTTAGGGACTTTAACCATTCTTTTCATAAATATTGTAAAAAGCTTCTAAAACTAAATAGCATAAGATCAGGTAACTGCTTTTCTGTATTCTTTTTACATTTGAATAGTTAAAGTTCGAAATAGCAAATAAGATATTATGCAAAAAATTAAATCTTTAAACTTCATGTTAGACGGCAGTCTTAATATTGATTGTTCACTTTATTCTCAGGTTTACTTAGAAAATTATTAGTCCATAAAAAAATAATAATTAAGTATTTGTACATACCATAAGATCAGATACACAGTTAATCAGCGAGGTGTTGGCCAGATCACTGACGTGCTCCTGACACATCAGATACGATGCAGAGGCTTCAAATGCTTCATTGCAGATGGTCGTCGCATTTTCATAAGACATAACATCAGTATTTGTTTGTCTCTTCATTCGACTCTAATGCAAGAAAAGAAAGCGATAAAGTATGTAAAATTCTGAAGAAGTACTTTTCAGTAAATTTGGGAAATAATCAAAGATATACTTTTGCATGAATTTCGTTATTTCGAGGATCACCGGCGGTCAACGACTGCAAATGACGCAGGTCTCTTTTTCTCCTTAACTGGCCTTCTGGATTTAAGATACAGTAGTATCTTTTTCCCACCGCAAAATTGCAGTTCTTGTAATTTCCATAGCTACATATAATGTCCCCGTCATGTGGATTGTTGGCGTTCTTTTTACAGGTACAAGTACGATCAAAGACTGTCGTTATGGACTTCAAACCGCCATATACGTTGGTGTCAAAGAGGTCTACTTCATCATTTTGAACCCTGAAAATAGGATTTTTTCAAAGATTTAAAAAGTATTACCTGTACGAACAATTGAAATTGGTATACCAATTATTACAAATAACTAATTTATTATTTCGATGTATTTTAGTAATATCAAAGTTATTTTTTTTCAATCTGTAATTTAGATGTGTCAATGACAATTTCGATGTTGAATGATTACATCAAAGCTAAAAATTTCATTTAATCTGAAACTTATATTTACTCGTATATCAATGACAGGAATTTAAGCTGTAACAAGTAAATTAAATATATTCATCTATAAATCGGTTTTTGGGAGTTGAATTTTGGTCTTAAACCCTATATCCGACTTATAGGTGAGTCATAAAGAGATTGGTATTTTTCTTGACGTTGAAATGTTGTATTGTATATGCAATCCCGGTATTATCGAAACAAATGTCTGCGTATACCAGTTTATGATAATTTATGCATTATTAGATGATACATAAAGTTCACGTATTTACAAATTTTAATAATTCTATTTGTATCTAAAATGGGCATAACTTATGTGTTTAATGATTTCAAATAAGATATAAGTTTCATTTCGAAAAAAGGATATATTAATTGAAACCAGGTTAAAGATCAATGGATTGGGATGGATTGCAATGGACTAGGCGAGTATGTATGGTATAATTAAATTAATTTGTATTTTAGACTCTTAAAGCACATTTTCTAAGCATATTTATTTTAAACAAGTTTTGTTAAACAGAAGAATATAAAAATAAATTCGAGCAGTAGTACTACAATGTATCATTAAGAAAAACAGTACTTCCAGGATTTAGAAAATCCGTTGGGAGGATTCCAATAGTTGAAGTTATCAGGATTGTCCTCCGTTTTATTAGCATCGTTCCAAGTAAAATCATTTTTATAATCGTTATCAAGGATTCCGCAAAGACCACTGGAATTCCCAACATCAGAAGGCGATGGGAAAATGTCGATATTTAAATGCCAATCATTCCAATTGGGCCAGGAGACAAACGTAATTTCAACTAATGTTCCTGTTGGGAAAATGACCTAAAATGTATAAAAGAAAGTTAATAATATGAATACTTCCTGAAAATGTATCTGCGAATAACATTAGAAATGAAAAGATCAAACAAAAATTAACTGAAAGAACACAATGGTAAATTTCAAAAATTTCCACATATTTTAAATTAGTTTCACTCATTCTTATTGTAGGATTTTTCAAATGAAGGAATATTGTTTTTGATGCTTGCATATTTTCAACAGTTCTAAAGATGAAAACAATGCTAATTACTTGGTATTTTAACATTTTTGTAGGCGTTCAAAGGTTATCACTTATTACAATTTAATGGATAGAGATTGCCAAGTTGTTCTAAGTGTTCCATAATATCAGTTTGCACATAAAAACTTCTAAAACAGGAAATAAGACCGTCTTTTAGAAAACTAAAGGTGTTCCCTTTTCCTACTCAGGTTAATACTATTAGGTCGATTGAAGCTGCAAAAATCTTTTTTCAACATATTTTTTACTTTTTTTAAGGAGTGAACACATAATCATGTACTAGAAGTTTTGAGTTAGGCCACTAAGCGGTTTGGAGAGGGCAACCAAACAATTTTTTTGAAGATGGCTTAAAATCTTTTAAGATAAGGATTACAATTTCTATACGTAGTATGTTAAGTTGATGGTGGGTTTAAAAATGTATTTGGCATATATTTTACCTTGTAGTGTTTATCGGTTGCTTTGATGACTTTTAACACTTTATCCTCGCAAGAAGGAAAGTTGATGACCGTTTGGGTGCCGCATATATCCACGATGAAAACGTCTTTTCCTGACCTCACAGCAACAGCACAAGTGCATCTTGGGTAGGAACGGGCAGGATGACACATATGATGTTTTTCTTGTACCTGATATAAATTTCTTTATCAATATCTAAACAACTTAAATAATATCTTTTATATCAACCAGAGTAAAAAGAAATGGTCAGACCTCTTGTTGGAATATCTCGTTTCTGTACAATATGAAAGTTCCATCCAACTGGCATTCATAATATCTACAACAATTCACATTTTTTGCATAATTACAAATAACATCAATAAACGTTTTGCAAAACTTTCTTTCGTTGTCCGAAGCTTGAAATGTAATGTATAAAGAAATACATGATTTATTTTATAGTCTAAATGCTGGATGGAAAAGAGTGATCTAGGAAGAAAATAACCATCTTTTGCTTGAACATTTCCAGCATAGAAATCTAATTAAATATCGTTTTTTAACTACACAGGGCAATTTTGAAACATATTTTCTTTTTTCCAAAATAGTCCCGGTAGCTCAATCGGTAGAGTGCTCGCTCCGTGATCGGGAGGTTTGAGTTCGTGCCTCGCCCGCAGCTAGCCGAAACCGATAAACAATGGGTAGCAACTGTTTCTTCGCCAAGCGCTCGGCACTTGAACTGAACGTTGCGGGTTTTATGGATGAGACTTGAAGAACCGAGACCCCGGGTCAAGGCAAGCGCTGGCACGATAAAGATCCCTCACTGCTCAATGACCCGAGTGCCGAGTTAAGGTCATAATTGGAATTACTTCACTGGTACATATTAACGTTTCTCATGAGTGAAAAAATCTCGAAAACAACATTACACAAATCAATCAAAACGTTTATACCTATAAGAAATTATAGGAAACCCAAGTTTAAACAACCTTTGATCTATAAAATACATGCCACGGAAGAATATTCTCTTCACTGCAATCTGAAGATGTCAGAATCACAAATGGGTCAACTTTTTATGGTCATACCTTGAAAAGCAAGAAAATTAAACCTCCATAAAATAAGTGATACACAGTATTACACGATTATGGGGGCAAAAGAACCAATCATAACTAATGTGAATACTTTTAACACTATAATCCTGACCTATGAAAAAAAGGCTTCAAACAGCATTAAAACAATTCAGCTTGCAAGATCAGATATACCAGGCTTGAAGTAGAGATAAAAAAAAAAAAGCACGTACGAAAATATCGACAGTTTTTGCATGGGAAATCGATTTTGATTATCACAAGTTTGTAATATGTAATATGCATTGGTATGAGCGATATTTCAAAAATAAGCATTGCACAAATTTTGGCATGCATCGCTAATACTCACCGACCATGAAGGATTGCAGGCGTAAACTGATCCAAGTGATGAAAGAATACAGAGACAAGGGCTTGTGTAAAATCAATACACGACTAAATTTAAGTGCATCCTTCAGCGGTCGATAAAATAACTTTATCAAACAAACAATTTACTGAAAATGAATTATATTTAGCGTGTACGATTTTTGTCGGAAATTGACTTTTGATTTAGTTAACGTTTATTTTATTTAGTGCATTTCTTCGTTTCTTATTTAGGTGTATATGTCCAAGGAATTTAGCGTTGTACTTGATTTAGCGGTTGCTGCGTTCCGCTAAAGCCGCTAATAATAATACGTAGCCAAATGTAACACGTTTACAGTATCATCGAGTCAAATGCTGACTTCCCTCCCTTGAAGTCTCTTATTTATAGAGTCACACCGTTTTTCTTCATATCAAATGATAAGGCTTTTGATTTTAAAGATTTTTGTTCCACAATTATTCAGAAATTTCTTTCTCGTTTTCGAGCTATGCAGAATATACAGCCCTACAATCCCTTACATGTAATGGACGTTTTTGAAAAAAAAAAGAAAAAAAAGAAAAAAGAAATGGTTACAATACAATTCTTAACATTTTTTATTTAATACTGCTTATCAAAAAAGTTCTCCCTAAGAAGATTAAAGATATCAAAGACTTAGCATTTTGGCCTCTTTAAAATTACGTAACATATGATCATGATTTTATAGTATATTGTTACAGATTGTTAGGAGAATCAATTTTGCTTCAGTAGTTAATATAAAACCAAATACACGTACTAATTATTCAAAAGATATGGCTAGAAGATTTTGAGACCCTAATTTGAGGTGCCAGCATAATTTTTTATTGTATCACATAAAAGCTCTTAACATTCTGTTCATCTTTTCTTCAATATGTTTCAACAAATTACAGGTATTAACAGGTATGACGATATGAAACAAAAGGTGTCAAATTTTGTGAGATGTTTCCGAGACATTTTTTCGAGACCTATCAAGCTAGTTCCTGAAAATTTTGGACACTCAACTGCACATCTACAAACCTTCCTCTTTCTTTACTGGAAATCTTGATTTAATATCTCAATGTTTCGGTGTCGCCGTACCTACCTATAACGCCAAATAGCGGATACGCGCCGTCATGTTTTTAAGCGTTTCCCCTTCGTTTCATTAAAAAATATTTGTGAAGCGCAAACATTTTCACCAATTTCACTTTCTTTAAGAATTCTTGGTACCATTATACACTCAAATTTTTTTAAAAAATTTAGCCCTCTGTCAAATTTATTTTGCGCAGTAGCATAAGACAAACTAAAAAATTTACATGTCCCCTAATCTGTCTTTTTTGACAACGTGAGACACTATTGAACGTTTCCGTCAGACCTCCCATCTTTCAGTCTCCTTGTCCTCTGCTGATCATTCAATGATCCATCGACCGCACAAAATTGCTCAAAAAGAGTTCCCAGGACAAGCAGACCCTGTAGTGTTTAGCTTATTTCATGTGTTCTAAGAAAGATAACTCTAAGATATATCAGTTACTGTCTTATCATCATTCTGTGTACTACGTCATCAATATTGTTGTAGTTGAATAAATTGTGAACCCTTAGCACGTGTTATTACTGGGACAATGCATCAGTGTGCATGGATCGTTATCCGAGATTAATAGTTATAAACCATAGGGATACGACATTTATTGGCGACGAGGATAATACGATGGCTGAAGGAGGAATTGTTGATCTTTCAGATTTTGGTGGATTTCCCAACTTTAGTTTGAGCGGCGACATCAACAGCATGGGCTTCCGGTGGAAGAAATGGCTGCAGTCCTTTGCAGAAGGTAAAGGGGTAGTTAACCCGAAACAGTTGAAATCACTTATGTTACACCATGCAGGTCGTGCAGTTCAAGATATTTTCTTTAGTATCGAAATACCTGAACCAGACGAAAATAATGCTGAAATGAACAATGTGTTCAATGTTTTGTGAAAAAAAAACTGAGTGAACATTTTACATCGCATACAAACGTTACGTATGAAAGATCTGTATTCAGGTCTATGAGTCAACTACAGGGTGAATCGATTGACAAATATATTACAAGACTCAAGCAGAAAGCACAATATTGTAATTTTGCGGATGAAAGTGAAATGATACGTGATAAGGTGATTGAAAAATGTAAGACACATAGACTTCGTAGGAAATTACTGGAACGCGCTGATGTAAAACTGGACGATTGATAAAATAAGCACAGACAATGGAATTCGCTGACAAGCAAGCTGATGCTATCCAAAATGGAATTTCCGGTAATTCTCAGGAGGGAACAACAACAGGTGATCAAGGTCATGGTGCATCAATAAACCGAGTTAGAGCTAAGAAATCGACTGCTCATTCACAAAAGAAGACATGTTGGGCATGTGGTAGAGTGGGACATTGTCATTGAAGTGCAGATTGCCCCGCAAAAGGAAAAAAATGTCATACCTGTAAGAAGGAAGGTCATTTTGCTCAGTGGTGCAGGAGTAAAACACATTCCAAGGACTTCAAAGGGAAAAGCAAAGAGAAACGGAGTTATGTAAAGCAAGTGAATGATACCCCGACTGAGCATCCTGAAGAACTGGAGAAATATGACTATGTTTTTACAGTTTCAGACACTATTGGTAACAAAGATAGCAAGATCGATATTGAAGTTGGAGGTGTTCAGATCTCAGCTATCATTGATTCCGGTGCTTCCGTTAATATCATTGATCGACGCTTAAGGGAACATCTGAAGGAACAGAAAATCAGCTGTACCTCACAACTGACCAACATGAAATTAAATGGGTATGGGAGTCGCAATTCATTGACCGTAGCTGGATATTTTACGGCACAAGTGACTGTTTGTGGTACTGACAAGTCCTTACACGATGTTACCTTTTATGTGATAGAAGAAAATGAACAAACGTTCTTCGGTAAGGACACAGCCACAAAACGTGGGATTTTACATATTGGTAAATCTGGAGACTCAGAATCTGGACTTGTACAACAGGTAACAGACACAAAGGCCAGTTTGAAAGCAAAATATCCAGAGTGTTTCGAAGGACTAGGAAAATTGAAAGATTTTCAGTTGAAGATTTCAATCGATGACAGTGTGAAACCCGTGGTACAACCATTAAGGAGGATACCTTACCATTTACGTGACAAAGTTGAACAGAAATTACGGGAACTAGAGTCATATGACATTATTGAGAAAGTTGACGAGCCAAGTGATTGGATGAGTCAGGTAGTAGTGGTGCCAAAAGCAAATGGTGACATAAGACTATGCGTTGATATGCGTAGGGCCAATGAAGCTGTCATCCGAGAGAGATACGCAATCCCGACAATTGATGATATTTTGAGTGACTTGAATCAGAGTCAAGTGTTCTCGAAATTGGACATTAAATGGGCTTACCATCAGATTGAACTGGACCCTAGTGCAAGGAAAATAACCACTTTCCAAACACACAACGGAAACTTTCGATACACGAGACTGATGTTTGGGATTTCTTGTGCACCAGAACTGTACAATAAAATTATTCACCAAGTGTTGAAGGACTGTAAAGGCCTGCATAGCATATTTGACGACATTATCGTATATGGAATATCTCAGGAAGAACATGACACAAATCTAGATAGACTCTTCCAGAAGTTGAGCGAGAAAGGTCTCACAATTAACTTGGACAAGTGTCAGTTCAACATGCCGCACGTATCTTTTATGGGACATGTACTATCTAAGCAGGGAATCTGTGTTGGTGACGACAAGGTCAAAGCTGTATTAGAAGAGAGACAACCATCGAATGCTGCAGAAATCCGAAGTTTTTTAGGACTTGTTAATTTCAGTGCACGATTCATACCAAATCTAGCAACGATTGCAGAGCCGCTAAGACGACTCACAAGGAAAGGAGTGAAATTTCAGTGGGAACGGGAACAAGATGATGCTTTTAAGAAACTGAAGGAGTTGATGGCAAAAGCATGTACATTAGCATATTTTGATCCTAAGGCTACTACTAAGGGTGTTGCAGGCACTTGCACTTGTACGGGCCTGTGAAAGATTTCACATGCATCTCTTTGGCAAGGAATTCGAACTTGTAACAGACCACAAACCTCTACAGTTCATATTCTCTCCAAGGTCAAAAACTTGTGCATGAGTGGAGAGGTGGATTTTACGATTACAGTCTTACCACTATAAAGTCGTGTATATACCTGGACCTCGAAATGTGGCAGATTGTCTCTCAAGATTACTTCATAAAGCTGACCACACAACTTCACATGATGAAATAGAGCAATACATTTGTTTGATGTCTGAAGGAGCAACACCTGTTGCCATGACAACCCGTGGAATTGAAAGAGCTTCAGCAGAGGACAGTGATATTGAACAAGTGAAGAAGTGTCTCATTACAGGGAATTGGAATAAAATAACTTGTAAGGAATACTTACCTGTTAAGGATGAACTATGTGCTATTGGACATTTAGTTTTGAGAGGAACTAGAATTGTGATCCCTGAAGTTCTGAAAGGGAAAATACTGGATTTGGGACACGAAGGTCATCCTGGTATAGACCAATGAATCCAGAACCATTGCACAGGACTGAGTTACCCTCCGAACCGTGGCAGGATTTGGCTGTGGACTTCTTAGGACCATTGCCATCAGGGGACATTTTGTTTGTTCTTGTGGACTACTATTCAAGATGGGTAGATGTGACCATCATGAGATCAACGACAACAGACAAAGTGATTCAAAGTTTGAAAAGCACTTTTGCTACACATGGTGTTCCATCATCAAGAAGGACTGATAATGGACCTCAATTTGTTAGTGGAGAGTTCAAGGAGTTTTTGCAGGAGTACAGAATATCTCACCGAAAGAAAACACCATTATGGCCTCAAGCCAACGGGGAAATAGAGCGTCAAAATAGTTCTTTACTCAAAAGACTTAAAATAGCTCAAGTCGAGAAACGAAACTGGAAGGATGAATTGCTCACATACCTCATGTTGTATAGATCCACTCCACACACCGTGACTGGAATTAGTCCGTCCCAAATGTTATTTGGAAGAACAATCCATACATACAAAACTACCCAAATTATGTCAACTTAATGGAACCGTCACAGAAATTCGTGGTCGAGATAAGGAAAACAAGGAGAAAGGCAAAATGTACACAGACGCAAGGAGAAACGCACAAGAAAATGATCTACAGGAAGGAGATCTCGTGTTGATGAAGCAAAAAAAACCGACAAGCTTTTGACTAATTTTAATCCAAGTCCAATGAAAATTGTGTCAAAGGAAGGAAATGGTGTATTGGTGGAATCTCCTGAAGGTGTGCGATACAGAAGGAATGTTACGCATCTCAAGAAGTTCATAGGGGAAATGCCAAGTTCACCAAGTGAGAAATCTGTGAAAAATCATTGTGAATATGTGAAAAATCAAAATGTGTCCTTGCAGAAGGAAAATGTGTCAAATCATGAAATTGTGTCAAGTGAAAATGTGTCAAATGAAAATGTGTCAATGTCAAATCAGTGTGAATATAATATCAATTCCAAGGAATCAAGTGCTTGCGATTCGTATGATGATCATGGTGATGTATCAATTCTTCTGATGATTCTGGGAAACTTCTATCGAGTCCAAAGAGTCCAGAAACTACTGCTCATACTCGACCAGTACGAGAACGGAAAATGCCGATCAAGTTTAAAGACTATGAACTGAGTTAAATGATTAATTTTGTCATGTTTGTTAATTTTCGCAGTGAATGACATTCAAAGGTATTATCAGCAACATTGTATTTTCAATTAAAACAAAATAGGGTTTTCATTAAGTAAAAATTCATGTACATTTAAAGTAATTTTGATCTGGAAAAAGGAATGGATGTAGTGTTTGGCTTATTTTATGTGTTCTAAGAAAGATAACTCTATGATATATCAGTTACTGTCTCATCCATCATTCTGTGTACTACGTCATCAATATTGTTGTAGTTGAATAAATTGTGAACCCTAAGCACGTGTTATTACTGGGACAATGCATCAGTGTGCATGGTCCGAGGTTAATTGTTATAAACCATGGGGATACGACAGACCCTATGAAAATCCTTATTATCTCACGACAGGAAGTGGTGTTCTCAATTTAAAAAAAAATATTTCCAGTAAGGTTCCGCTCAATATCTACCATATCGCAAGGTTTCAAAAAATTGGAGACGGAGGACGGAGAATGAATATCTTATTTAAAAATGGAGGTAAGATCAGGTAGAATAAATATGAACTTTTGGTAATGAAATGGATTACTGTAGTTTCATCAATATTCGTTGTGCACCAATTTTCGTGGATATCGTTGTTGAGCCCATCCACGAATTCAAATGTTCATTGAATTACGAAATATGACATACATTTGTATAGGCAATGCTTTTGTCCACGAAATTACGTATCATCGAAAACGTCTGTTTTACAAAATCCACGAAAATTGATGCCGACGAAAATTGATGAAACCACAGTATATTGTTGATTAAATTGATTATATAAACTCTTTTTATAAAATAAAACTTTTTATACTGCACAATTGTATGCTTATTCTTCCTTACTTTCCATCTAAAGTCTTCATATGTGGATCTGTATGAGATTCGCAGTTTTTCCCCTTCCATGCCGAATTGTTGTCCTCTATGTAAACCTTTATAGGAATACAAGTGGTTGTTAAAACATTTGTTTATTATTATATTTACAACATCGTTTTTTTGTCTAAATACATGTATGATAAAAAAAGATATATATATATATATATATATAACCGAATCCAATCCGTTGGCGGTTTCGTTTTAAAAAACTGCAATCACTTAGCGGCACGCGTTATTTACTGGCATAAAA